ATAATAGGTTCCAATGTAAATTTTTTCGCAAAATGAAATTCATTTTTAATAAATATTCCAGTGAAATAATAACACGTGTAGGGAGTTTATAATGAAATACGACATTTTTTGCATCACCTTTAAAGCACTCGTCTGGTATACCATATGCGGTTTCATGTCATAACTTGGCTTCTAGTACGAGGGAACGTATAGGGTAGAGGTTAAGTCGACATTCCGGTGGTTAGAGGGTAAGAGAGACGTGGGTTCAAATATTCCAAGTCGATTAGAGGTCCCGATATTGGAAACGCGCTCTGCCTCTATTAAATTAATGGTTGTCCATAAGTACGCCAGAACGAAGGCTTCTGAATTTAATGTCGATTATAATATAAAGGAACTGTATTAAAAATTTCAAATACCTCTGAATACTTTTTAAACTCTAAAAACAATTAAATTAATTACTTTCCATCAATCAATACAAGTAAATTACCAAATGTGAACTCTAATTTTTTTGCAAATAAAAGAAAATTACTGAAAAAAAAATTTCACTCGACGAACATTGTTGTAAATCACTTTGGCAAAAAAAAATATGCAAAAGTGATTCTTTTATGTGCATTTTTTAATACTCTGGTGATTTACTTCTTCGTAAGTTAGGACGTGTAAAATAACTAAATGTCAGTCTCTAATTAAAAATGTATTTTATTTGCCCACCAATTACACTTTTTTTCAATATTCTGTTCGACGTAAGAGGTACCGGCTGCGATTAATAACGCTTATTGTATGCTGTGGTCATTCCGATCTTAATATATACGTGCATATGCATGAAAGCATTAGCGAATGGAGCATTTCCATAATTATAATTTTCCTCTCGAGTAGAAATAACTGCGAGGATGAGAGTAATTTATATTATCTCTCCAGTGTTCGAATTCGTGTTCACGGTCACACAAATAGAAATTTACTCATTGCTCTCTTTTTCCAAAAAATTATACATATGTAAAACGTGTGGTTTTAGCGATACATTCCTCGAATTGTAAATTTTGGTAATATTTTGGTATGCTTAAAATTAAAGAGAATTACCATCCTATAAATTGAAAAATAAAAATTAAGGGGTTTAAAGATTTACTAGTGGATAGATTAGTTAATTATGATTCGTTCGTAATATAAAAAACAATGCGGATGTAAGTATTCTTTTATCGAGAACAAAGGAGATTTTCATGGTGTGCAATTAGGTATCGTTGAATTATTAATTTGGAATCCTAGAATTATTGATGACTATTGATCTGTTTAGACTCTAGTTCCTAGAGTGATGGAGATAATTTCAGGATGAAGAGTTCTATCTACTATCATTGTGAATATCAATGACTGTTTCCATTGACAATCAGTTTATCCACATGATGTCATCCAATAAACCTTAGGATTCACATATCAACAATTCGAATTGATACTTTAAACAAATTGAATTTGAAAAGAAGAACATAAAATTCCACAAATTCCATTTTCGGCGACGTGATTACTATATTCACTTTTACGTTCACTGGCTAACAATCCAATGATTTTGGATTATAAAACAGTAACAGTGGACCCAAACCTATACGAGTGTCCCACTTGAGATGTTATGATAGATCTCGCAGTGGCGTGTCATAACCATTAGTAATTCAATAGACGGTTGTCCAGAAGCTGAGATAACCATTGCTTGTGTTTTATTAGCATTCAAGGCAAGTCAACGGACGATCAAAAGATAACGATCTTTTGCACATCGTTTCACATAATCTATATCTATTTGAATCTTTTTCAACAGATCAAAAGATGATAATGGACCAGAAAGATAAAATTTGAAATCATCAGCATACTTATGATATTTACAATAATTTAATTGATTTTCCACAACTGAAATAATCAAATTAAAAAACCGACTGATTAGCTCAATTGGATTAATGCCTCGCTCGGCAGACGCTGTAGGCCAAGGGTACTTGGTTCACGCTCATTAGCCTGAGATTCCGTAGTTTCCCTTAACTATGGTCAGAGAGGTCCAGGTGAATACGAGTACTTCTAATAAAGCCGGCTATGGACCGCAAATAGGGGGGATTTTGGAATCTGGGGGAATTTGGAGAATAAGGGGTTATATAAGGGGTTATATCGAATAATGTAGAAACCCGAACAGGGTATACATGAAGAACAATAAAAAACAAATTAAAAACCTTTTTAAATGTACCTAAATTCTTCGTTTTAAATTAGTTTCAGAATTTAATATAATTTGGGATGAGGATAAGTTAATGAGCCTACTAAATTTTGTTGGAGTAAATTTATCTTTATCTTGGCTTTCTCGATAATGTTCTGTAGGTTTTTCAACCCGTCCTTTATCGTGCGGTTGACATTCTTATGAACGTCACAAGACTTCAACATCTTTAGGACCTCTTCTTCGATCTGTTCGATCATTTCTGCCACTTCCGCTCTTAACTTCATGCACTTTTCGCGTTCTTCATCAACTGCTTCCTTGTCGAGGTCCGAGGGAACTACGCTTACAGCACTCGTTCCGCTGCTCACACTTAATAGGCTTGAGGCACTCCCTCTTCTTTTTCCTGATCTATCTGGTTCTCCTTTCACGATGTTCTGTGGATATAACCTTTCCACGATCACCCGTGGCACCGCAAGAAGTTGTGTGCCCCCACAATCCGCGAGCACTTGACCATCAGTCCTGGGACTGATGGTGAGATTTCTCGTTTCTAGCCTCCTCACATGGGGTACCTTCTCTGAATTTTGTGAATCCATTTTTTCTTGCTGTTTGGTTGCCCTTTGGTAAAAAGCCCCGCCACCACGGCAAGGTCTACCGAACATATCCATGATGTCAATCATGTCTAGCAGTGGACTTATTAATAGTTACTGTGACGCGACACATACATCACTATTTACCAAAATTGATGCAATCTTCCCTGGTTGGTATATTAAACGCATACTTTTTATCAAAGAGGTTCAAAGGGACAAATCTATCCTTGATCTTATTGAAAAGAGGCCTCCCTACTAAATTCTTAGAAGACATCATCTTCTCACTCTCCTACGGCCCTCGGAGCATGAACATTTATTAATTATACGTTGCCCCTTATAAACAGTTGTGAAAATAATATTCCAAAGGAAATGAAGTTTTTACCTGGCTACAGATGTTCGAGGCGACATTGTGATTGTCCTTTTTAGCAAAGATTCATAACTTGATATGCACAAAATAGAAATATTCACAATTCGTCAAATCATTTTTTTCACTTCAAAAAAAAAATGTACTCAGAAACAGTTACAATTCAACAAAAGAATAAATTGTCATCACAAATTAAGTGCTGCCTGATTGTTATTCAATTTCAGTTAAATTCTTTTTTTCAAATAGAGAGAATAAATTGAATAACTGTATTTTTTTCCCAATGTGTTTTTATGGTACCAAAGAGAACTTGTTTAAAAAAAATTGGAAAAACGTTCTTCACGGTTATTGTGACTAGAGCATGAAAATTTGCAGTTCTCTAGTCGTTGCAGTGCAGAGGTTTTTTTTAATGAATGGGCAAGAGAACAACGTGGAAAACTCTCTGATGGGTACATATTTGAAGCATCGTTCAAAAGCGGGAGAAAGAGAGATAGAGAGTGGTGGTGGTAGGCGTGACGTTGGAAAAGGGAAGTGCGACATCACACAAAGATTTGTGGCTTCTGCCTACGACAGTTTTCGACGTCGTTCATTAGGGTATTAAACAATTTATTCAACCACATATTTGAGGGAAATTTGTAGTCATTCATAATTTTGGATAGTTTTTCAAATAATTATTTGATTGTTAACTTTTTCACATTTTTTTTATTATTTTATTTACTTTGATGCATTGAGTTCCTCAAATCAAATTCGAAACTGATGTGGTGAATGTTGTGGAAATGATTTATGCAATTGATATGTACGTCAATGCACTGAAATTGATATCTGGATTTGATGTATTAACTGTTTTTGTCTGTTCTTTTACTGAATTGTTTATGGGAAATTTATTTTAAAAAAAACTGTTGAATGTTATTTTAACATTTTTGGGCAAAAAAATGAAATTTACTTTCTCAATGGAAAATCAATCTCTACTTTACCGAATATGAAATATTTTTCAAAATAAAATGTCGGATGAATTGTAAATGAATTAGTTTCCTGACCAGTATGAAACTGATTTTATTTATAAAAACTAAAAGACAACAAGAGTATAAAATGTAACTGTTTGTAGGGGAGCAGTTACTTTTTTCGAGTGTAAATTGAATTGACGGAAAAAGTGCACGCTATTCACAATTGTAAGCACAGCATGGGAACAACTGAAATCAGTGGTGTACAATATTTTCGGACAGCGGTAACGTAAACTTTGTCCCACCGGGGTGTAGTTTAGCGAAGTGAACTTGGCATTTTTTGCCACTAAATATATTTTTCTTTTGAATCAAGAGAAGGGGTTTGCAAGTCCGGATATCGTTCGTTTTGGCATTTGGCCAGATCTTTCCCTCGTGGTAATTTACGTTACTCACGCTTTCGCTGGCGAGATGAGAGAGAGAGAGAGAGTCAACTTTCGGTAATTTTCACGGAAAATCTGGTCTCTCGTTATATTACTGGTTCGCTTATAAAGTGTCAGGATCTGCAGTGCCAGCGCTCGACCATCGAAGAATCGATTCCGGAACATACAAATACATGGCTTTCAACACGTGAAAAGAAATGATTCAATGATCCATTTTAAATTATATCCATTCAATACGAGCGACAATGTTAAAAAAAAAAAATATTTTTATAATATTCCGTTTCGACAATGTGTAGATTTATTTAAAACAAGTTTATTATTTAAGAAAAGAGAATTAAAAAATTGATTGTGTAGCAAAAATTAGATTTTGAAATGAACTTTTTGTTTTCAGAAAGTGAGAATTGTGAATGTTGGATAGTTTGGTGGAACGATTATGTTCCTTCGTCAACATATAAGGGGAAAATTAAGTTTATGTTAGTTGTAAGTAGAATGTAATAGCGTTAAAACAAAGAAGCTCACCGAGTTGATGTAGTTTATGAGAGAGAGTCCTCCGTCCCATGGATGCTCGAGCTCACATGAGAGATTCGCTGGCCTGAGAGCGTGAGACTGTTCGAGAGTTCTCAAACCCACAGCAAACACCTGCACACTGTCATACATCAACGCTGGCTCGGCCTGTATTGACAAATCAAAATAGTGTATTACATTCTTTTTGCAAATGTGACAAAATTTTTGTTTTGGAAGAAATATGAAATTTGCATTGTATTCAAAAATTCAAGCTCTAGGTCGCTGCCCAGCTGAAAAAGTTCTCTAGAATTTCACTAAAACGGAAAGAATTTCTACATGAATTCTACCAAATTTTAGTCCGTAATTAACAATAGTATGTAAATTAATAATTAATAATAATTTACATATATTTTTCAATTTAGCTTTACATCCTCTTTCGACTCCTTGATTTATGAAACTAGTATATAACGCTTTTATAACCCCTTGGCTCAACTGAAACTTTTCAAGAAGATAATAGTACTTTTCAACGTGGCGAATACTGAAAGTCGCGCTTTCCATTCATCGACTACTTTCTTTTGCTGAAGAATACTTTTGCAAATCTTTTTTAACCAGAAAAATACATTCATAATATCCAGTAGTGTGGTCCATTCGTAACTCATTTCTCCGCACTTGACGGCAACATTGGAGAAAAGGTCTTGGAAGATATTAACTTTCATGCATAAAGTTAAGCAAAACCATTTTCCCTTCTATTTTCACTTTCTTAGACTGCGACGGAATGGTAAATATATACAAAATAAATGTATACATTTCATAGTTTGTTTTTTGTTAGCAGTATGTATGCATATATAACCTCTTTCAATTCAATCTAGTTCGAACATTTCTTTCAATTTTCTAATCAATATTTCCAATGAAAAGAAAAAGATCTAATTCGAGATAAAGTTACAAAAAAAACCAGACAATAATGGGAGAAAAAAATCTTTTCACACGATTATGTTAACTTAGCTTAGCACTCTAATTCCGAGAGTTTCAAACTATCTTGTGTATATATACATGGCGAAACTCAGTCAACTTTATTATTGACTTGTTGGAAGTAAATAAATATTTATTCACCAAAGGACACCACACTCTCTCGATTGACATCCGCGGCTGAACCCCAATTCGTTGGTTTGTAATGTATTCCGTCTATATTTCGAACGAATGTTATCAATTTTATTCCGATCTTGATTCCGTATTTTCATATTTCTTGTCAAATTTTTATAAATACTACAAAATTTAAATTAAATGTATATTTTTAATTGATAAAACGTATGCATAAATTTATATTTGTTGTTTTGTATTCTAGTCTAATAAAACTTTAATTTAAAAAATTCCATTAAAATGCTTACATTTTATTATCAGAAAGCGTAACGGGAAATTATTCAAAAGCCGTAAAAAAAATACATTTTTATTATTTGACATCAATAGTACACGAGAAATCGTATTTTTTTTTGTGGAAAACTTTATTAAAACATTCAGCAACATGAAATTTCGTTTATTCCATTCCCTTCAACTGTCACCATCTGTCTTTTACCTGTCAACTTATTTAAATTGAGCAAATGCTCTTTTATAAATATTTTTTTCTGAATACTCTTTTATTCATAGATAAATTTTATTATATTATTGCATTGCATCTGTGAAATTATATAATCTTCTTTTGCTAAAAAATTAATATTAACTTTTAATTATCATTACTGAGTATAATTTTCTAAAATTTTAATTGTGCGTAAAGAGAAAAAGAAATAAAATTATGTCAAAGTCAATTTTTTTCAAAGTGAAGTTAAATTTTGTTGCTTTACTCAACGTATGTTTATTCATTTAAATATTAACTCGTCAAGTAGAGGTGTGTATACATTAGAACTGATTATACGTGTTGCTATGGTTTAATATCAGAGTTCAGATACGAGTTTACAGAGAAACGACAGAATTTCTGGGTGCGTGTACATATTTACTTAGACAAACATGGCAAAGGATTGGAAACTTTGGTTGGTCGCTGAAATACATTTCCCCTAAGCGAATTTTGCAGCAGTGCGCCTCGCCTCGAAGCAAAAAGGATCACGAGTTAGTTGTATAATTATACAGGTAGCAATGTATTAATTACTGCATTTAGGATTATTCTAGAAGAAAGTATTTATTTATTTATTGCTAATAATTAATCTTGCAAATTATTGTATATTTTTTAATCAGTTGTTAAATTAAATGAAGTTAAAATAGAACTTTCCTAATGAAATCAATAAAAATTAACTTCATTAGCAAATAGCAAGTGTGAATTCTAGGCTTTTAGGAAATTTATCAAATTGATGTTAAACAAGAGATAATTCCTCAAAAGGCACATTATAAAACAGGTCATTAGCCTAAAAGGGTCAGGAGATTATAGGTAAGCAACAATTTTTGCCAAACATGGAATGGATCATCACTTGGATGTAATCACATAGATGTGTTGGGATTTAGGTAGATGCTTGCCAACTATCAGACATGACTGACATCATGGATATGTTCGGTAGACCTTGTCGTGATGGCGGGGCTTTTCACTAAAGGGCAACCAAACAGCAATCAAAGGTTTCAGATTCAGTATCCCTTGTGATTCTCTTCCTTGTTCGAGTGTTTGACACTCGAATTAAAAAGAGCACACTATGGTAAAGATAAAAATATAAAAACAGTCTCACTGAACACTCTAGTCAGTATTACAGATTTCGAGAAAAACAAAATATATCTTTACACGCTAAACAAATTTTTATTAAGAGAGAATACAATTACAAAGTCAGAAGGTAAGTTTCGAACAATTCTTTTTAGTTCTATTAGTTTCTTTAGAGTGCGTTGCAAGCTCTTCAATAGAAATTATACGTAACATGATAGTACAAAGTTAAGTCAAATTGAATCAAAGTCTTAAAATTTGAAAGGGTTGAAAACAGTATAACGTGTCAAAGGAGTTTATTTGCAGTGTATAAAGGTACATCCTCAACAGGTGCTTGCTTGGAATTCGGTGTTGCGAAACTTGAGTTGGCGTTTATCAAGCATAACGGGAGGAATAAAGTAACCAGAAATCCCTCTAAGAAGCAAAATAGTTCTTGTAGTGGTGAATTCTCGGCCGCTATCTAGAAGTGATTCAAGCGTGTTCTTAATTAGTCAAATTCCAAAGTTCTAAAGTTCGCCAGACCGTTAGTTGCTTAAAGCATGGGAGATACGAATTGTAGTTTAGCTTTTATAGGACCTGACTTTATTTCAATTACTCATTTCAATTACTTACTATCTAAGTTGCTATTTAGAATAGTTTAAAGAACTGTTTTAGACAAGTTTGTTTCGAACGATTGCAAATATTTTATTAATAAATCAAAATATTAGTAATTCCTACTCTAGATATTTTTCATATCATGAAATAATTCTTCCTTCACATTCTTTCCGTTCTCCATAATTCATTCGCCAAATTTTCTTTCTATTTCTAACATTCGCATATAAATTGAATCTGTATTCTATCTAGTGACACATTTTTTCATAGTAGTTTTGTGTCATGATGCATTGAGAATGGAGTAAATTATAAATCAGTCTGGTTTAGATGAATTTTATTAAATTTTCTCACGTTCAAGATGGATTGACATATCTGAAAACAGACAACTTCATTTTCCTTTTCGTACACGCACCTCCATTTTTCCTTCGCTCTCTTATGGCATGTAGATCAAACTATATTAGCATTTAAAACGAAATGCAACTACTTGGAGGGTGCGAAACGCGTCTTGGAAGAAGTTTTATTAACAATACTTGGCTTACAGCAAACTTCGATGTCTACTTATTTTCAATCCGCAGGATTTATGCAAAATATTTAATATCGTATGTACCAAATATTAATCTTAAGTGACTGGTGAATGTTACATAACATAACTTATTTTTTAGCACTAGTATTAATTTTAATAACTTTTGAAGATATGCTTATAACTAACTTTGAATAGAATTTTCTTATCTACATTTTTAAAATTTATGCACAACCCTAAGAGAATCCTACAATGTTTCAATTAACTTTAAATTTCGATTACCTAAACGCTATCTCAGAGCGTATTCAATGGTAGGGTAGCAGATTCCGGTTAAATTAGAAATTCAGGGGTTTCTCATTGTCTGTATAAGAGACATTTCTGACTGTCACATAGATTTGTTACTCACTTAATGAACTCAAAATGTTTGATATATTAAGAAAACAATTTCCCAGTTGCCCTTCGTCTTGCTCTCGAAGATTTGCTTTCTCAGTGGTAATTTTGATTCAACCATTCTGTAGGATTACAGTAAAGGATAGTAGTAATGAAGCATGTGAAGGGGAATAACTGAATGATAGAGGTATAATAAAAGAAATTATTAAAATTCATTTAGTTGTCCGGAAGATTCAGCACTTTTATGGTTTCAAAAAAATTTCATTTTCTGTATATCCAAAAATTTTTAAAAATCACTTTTAGACCTTTGATATCTAATTATCTACGTATTCTGCTAACAATTTGATAACCAAATTTTATCACACTCGAGTCAACAAAAGGTTTACATTGTACATTCTTCCTCTTTGCTCATTTCAATTTATGAATTATTACCCTCTAACCAACAACATTATTAGCACCTCTTTCTTCACTGTTGAAATGAAAGTGTAAAAGTACAATTCAGGGATACACTTTCCAAAGATAAAATTTTAAAGAAAAGCATAAGATTTTTTTTTAGTGTACTTATATATAATGCACATTTTACGCATCAAGATGAGTGACCTTCTATGACATAAACCTTATCTTTGCAAAAAAAGCCTTTATTATGGAGGGCTTCTTCTCTGGGGTGAAATCTCATGCATAAACATAGAAGGGGATTTTCTGGCAAAAATTATACCTATATAGAAGTGCCTTAGTTTTTTTTTTTTTGCAGCTAAGTGATATTTAATTTTGGCAAAGTAAAATAGAATAATTCGTTCTCTGTTGTTTGCAATAAATTTTATAGAAAGGTATTATTTTCATTTACTGACTTCATAAAATTCTTACAAACTTTTTATAACTCGGGGTTAGTATTTCCATTTTAAAAAAGTATTAACATGGTAATTTGAAATTAATTCGAATTCTGTAATATAAATGTTAATGCAACCTACTTTTTATTAAATTTTCAAGTTTTCAGTT